GGCAACAGAGGGAGACTTCGACTCAAAAAAAAAAAAAAAAAGAGATGAGTCTCAGCCTTTCACCCAGGCTGGAGTGCGGTGGTGCAGTCACAGCTCATTGAAGCCTGAACCTCCTGGGCTCAAGCACTGCCCCTACCTCAGCTTCCCAAGTAACTGGGACTACAGGGGAGGGGTGCCCCACTGCCCTCTCAAATAGTTAAATACCTAAACATAGTCAGTGAATTAAGCATGGGATACAGTAGTACTTTGAATTTAGGTTTCTGACTCTTTTACCAAGAAGTTTTTCTTAAAGGAAATAAGCACCAGTCTTTCTTCTGACTGCATAGTAAACCTATATGGCCAGTGTATTTCTTGTTTCCTGTTTCGCTTTTTTAAGTTATAGCCTCACATTTTCTTTGTGTCTCTACAGAATCTACAGGAGGAAAAGGAAAGGAAGTTGGAGTGCCTGCCCCCAGAGCCTTCCCCTGATGACCCCGAGAGTGTCAAGATCGTCTTCAAGTTGCCCAATGATTCTCGAGTAGAGCGACGATTCCACTTTTCACAGTCTCTGACAGTAAGGGCCTCCTAAGTTGTGTGCCGTATGTGTAGTGTCTGGGCTGTAGTGTCAGAAGCTTGTTGGTATATCTGCTGCTCTAATGAACAAGTTAAAAAACAGGCATGACATCAGTGGACCCTAGGAAAAGCGCAGTGAGCTGCTGTAGGTTACTTCAGCTCTAGCTGCCAATTAAAGCAATTTGTAAGGGTTTCCCCATTATGGTATTTGAGCTCTGCTAAAAAAAAAAAAAAAAAAAAAAAAAAATAGTATCATGGCTGGACACGGCGGCTCATACCTATAGTCACTTTGGGAGGTGGACTGAGTTGACTGGTTCCAGACCAACCTGGGCAACCTCGTCTCTATAGTACATCAGAAAATTAGCTGGGCATGGTGGTGGGCACCTGCGGTTCCAGCTACTTGGAAGGCTGAGGCAAAAGGCTCACCTGAGCCCAGCAAGTCAAGGCTGTGGTGTCTGTGAGCCTGTCACTGCACTCCAGCCTGGGTGACAGAGTGAGACTTCAACTCAAAAAAAAGAGAGAAAGCATTTTGATTTATTTATTTAGAGATGAGGTCTCACCAACTTGCCTAGGGTGGTCTCAAACCCTGGACTTGGGCAGTCCTCTCACCTCTGCTTCCCAAAGTGCTGGGATTATAAGCATGAGCCCAGCTAAAAGCTGTTTCTTTTTTTTTTTTTGAGTTGGAGTCTCACTCTGTCGCCCAGACTGGAGTGCAGTAGCCGCTCCCAGCCACCACAGCCTCCACCTGCTGGGCTCCGGCAATCCTTCCACCTCAGCCTTCCAAGTAACTGGAACCACAGGCGCACGCTACCACACCCAGCTCATTTTTTTTATTTATTGAAGAGATGGGGTCTCGCCAAGTTTCCCAGACGGGTCTTGAACCCCCGGGCTCCGGCAGTTCACTCACCTCAGCCTCCCAAAGCACAGGTTTACAGGCTGAGCCACCAAGCCAGGCCTAAAAGCTATTTCTTAAAAAAATAACATTGCGCTGGGCTCGGTGGCTCAGCCTGTAATCCCGCGCCTTTGGGAGGCTGAGGTGAGTGGATTGCCGGAGCCCGGGGGTTCGAGACCCGCCTGGGCAGCGAGACCTCATCTCTACAATAAATCAAAAAATTAGCCGGGCGTGGTAGTGCGCGCCTGTAGTTCCAGCTACTTGGAAGGCTGAGGCAGAAGGATCCCCGGAGCCCAGCAGGTCGAGGCTGTGGTGGCCGGGAATGGCCTCTGCACTCCAGTCTGGGTGACAGAGTGAGACTCCAACTCAAAAAAATAAAAAATAAATAACATTGTGACCACCTGAGACTGAGAAAAATGCTTGGTTATAAGTGAGCTTAGAGACAGGAAAGAAGTGTGAAAGACATACACCAGGAGTGCTGACCTGGAATTAACACTCTCAGAGACAATTATATAAAACCAAGTAACAATTTTGTATGTTTTAGTACTCTCACAGACTTTGTGTCTTCTTCCTTTGAACTTGGTCCTTCATAAATAATCTTAAGGAATGACAGATTTGTTGGTAATACTCAGCTCTTGATAGTGAAATGCTAAGATAAAAAAGGATAAACTACAGAAATATCTCGAGGTCCCTTGAGTGGTTAGAAAAGTGGCAACTGACTATCTTTTAAATGACTGTGAACAAGAGAGATCCAAATTATACTCGGCCCAGAATTGGGCTATCCATTAAAAAAACCAAAAGGGACCTCTGATGGTATTATCTGTGTCCAAATAGTGTCAGCCACTTGTCACTGGTTAAAAAAAGTGGGGGCGGCATGGTAGCACACGCCTGTAGTTCCAGCTACCTGGAAGGCTGAGGCGGAAGGATCGCCGGCGCCCAGCAGGTCGAGGCTGCGGTGGCCGGGGGCGGCCACTGCACTCCAGTCTGGGCGACAGAGTGAGACTCCATCTCAAAAAAAATGACACACACACACAAAAAGGAATACTTGATGCAAGTATAGTGGATGCATCTCAAGAAAAGAGAGAGAAGAGACATTAGTGGAGATTTCAAAGGGTCAAGAAGGGAACTGAAGATGGTTGAGGCGAGAGACTCAAATAAGGGAAGGTTATAAAACCATGAATGGATTGGATAAGAAGAATATGGATTTACTCTTTAAACTCTGGAAGTATAGCCCGTTAAAAAAATCCCTAAAGAGATAAGCTTAAGACATAAAGGAAGTAGTGCTTCACACAGAGGGGAATAAACCCAGACAGTTCATCATTCTGAGAAGCATAACAAAAAGAAAATAGAAATAGTTTCCTCCAAAAAATGATGGATAACATGAATAGTATTTTCCTAATCTTTGGGGTCAGCCTGAAAGACATGAGAGGTAGAATGCTAGATGGAGAGAACCTGAGGGTGGAGATGGGGAGACAGCAGTAGCCTGTCCACAGGTGTCTCCTCACAGCATTAGCAGTGTGAATTCTCATGTTGCTTCCCTTCTCACTAGGGATTTACCTGTGCTTTGTCAGAGCCAGAAGAGGGTGCGGTGCGGAGGGCAGTCCCACGGGGTGGGGGGGGGAGCAGGGAAGGGTGTCAGATCTCCGTCAGCTTAAAGAGCATTCATATGTGGGGCATGTGCAGCGATGTGAGAGCCCAGTCAGTACAGGGTGGGTGTCAGAGCCTGAATGGGGTAAGGAGTGTGTATATAGCAAAGTAGGCTTATGTGGGAGGGCGATGAGGTTGTCGTTTTTATATGCTTTTTATCTAGCTGATTATGTAGGCACAAGGGGTGCTTTTTTTTTTTTTTTTTTTGTATTTTTTGAGTTGAGTTTCACTCCATCGCGCAGGCCAGAGTACAGTGGCCCTGCTGGGCTCTGGCGATCCTCCTGCCTCAGCCTTCCAAGTAGCCGGAACTACAAGCACGTATACCACACCTGGCTAATGTTTTTTATTTATTGTAGAGACGGGATCTCGCCAAGTTGCCCGGGCTGGTCTCAAACCCGCAGGCTCAGGCAGTCTACTCGCCTCGGCCTTCCAAAGTGCTGGGATTACAGGCCGAACCACCAAGCCTGGCCAGGGGTGCTTTTTATGTAGCTATAGATACATACCCACATCTAGCTCTGTCCATAGAGAGTTCCTAGGAGTAGCAGCTCCTCAGTAGCCACGAACATTCTCAGCACGTAGGTCTTGGCTTTCAGATACCATTATCCGTTAAGAAGAATTAGAGCGGGTAGTCCTCTCTCAGGTTCCCTCCCACTGCAGGAGCTTTTCTGTCTTCTTAATAAACTCCTGCTTTCTTGCAAAAAAAAAAAGAAGAAGAAGAAGAAATAGGGCTCCTTGGAGAAATGGCTGATTCCAGGGCTGGAATTCCAGGCAGGGAAAATAAAACACCTTGTACCAGAAAACAAGGAATTGTTCAGAGAATGGTGGAGCCATGTCAGAAAGACACAGAAGCCAGCCATTCAAGCTGACTCTATCTGGAACAGTTTGAGTGGCAACATAGGTAATGACTATAACCTTTTAGCCTATAGAATAAAATAGGAAATCGTTAACCTGTACTCATTGAAAGTTTGAGGACCAGACTATCTTCAAAGTACTTCCCACAGGTACTTATTAATTACAAAGAGTAACGTATAGTAGAAAGGCTTGGCAGCACCACCATGGTCAGGCAACCAAAGTGAGCATCACAGGTGTCCTGTTTTTATGTAGAAGAGCAACAGGACTTGGCACGGTGGCTCAAGCCTGTCATTCCAGCACTTAGGGAGGCAGAGGCAAGAGGATTGCCTGAGTCCAAGGGTTCAAGACCAGCCTGGGCAACATGGCGAGACCTCATCTGTACAGTAAATTTTAAAAATTAGCCAAGCATGGTGGTGTAGCTCCGGCTACTTGGAAGGCTGAGGTAGAAGGATCGCCTGAGCCCAGGCAGGTCGAGGCTGCAGTGGTCGTGAGCGTGCCACTACACTCCAGCCTGGGTGACGGAGTGAGACTCCATTCCAACTCAGAAAGAACGACAGATTGAAACTGTGTTCGCCTGAGTAGGATGCAGTGAGTAGGCGCAGCATCACTTATGTAGTAGCCCTGTCACACATACAGCCTGAATCCAGTCGTGAAGAAATGTCAGACACACAGAGACATTCTACGAAATAACTGGCCCAGAATCTTTTATGTCTCAAGGAAAGACTAAAGGAGGAGACTTAGAGATGTGGCAGATGCCGGGGACTGCCTGAGCCCAGGGGTTTGAGACCAGAATGGGCAACATGGTAAGACCTTTTCAGAGAGAAAAAATTTTTTTTTTTTAATTAGCCGGGTGTAGTGGCATGTGCCTATGGTTCCAGCTACTTGGAAGGTTGAGGCGGAAGGCTCACCTGAGCCCAGCAAGTTGAGGCTGTGATGGCTGTGAGTGTGGCACTGCACACCAGCCTGGGCGACAGGCCCCAAAACAAAAAAAGAGAGAGATGTAACAAATAAATGTAGCATACTTAAACAGTTTAGCTTATACCGTTTAATGTAAAAGTAGATCCTGTTGCTTTAAGAGATAACTGGCAAAACTTGAAGGGGGCCCCGAAGAATAATATAACATATGGTAATAGTGTACCAGTTAAGTTTCCTGATTTTGAGGGCTGCAGTGATAATATGGAAGGTTGTCCTGTTTATCAGACACACCTCAAGTATTCTGAGGCGATGGGACATCAGGTTGGCAGCTCACTCTCAACTGGTTCAAATAAAACAAGTCTGCATCTGTACTTGGTGATTATTTCTATGTGTAAATGTTTCAGCATTCTATCAAAGTTGTCAGAGAAGCAGATGAATCACTTCAGAGTAGAACTAATGCTAGAACTGTGTAATTTCTTTCAAAGGGGCTGCCTTGGGAAAGGAAAGACCTAGAAGTAGAGTTCCAGTGTCACATGATTCCTTCAGGCGTCAGTCACCTGGGGAGCATGGGGTGTTGGACGGCACAGTCGTGTTTCTTTTCTCACTGCCCTCTTGTTCTGTGTGACCTCTGCAGGTAATCCATGACTTCTTATTCTCCTTGAAGGAAAGCCCTGAAAAGTTCCAGATCGAAGCCAATTTTCCCAGGCGGGTGCTGCCCTGTGTCCCTTCAGAGGAGTGGCCCAATCCCCCTACGCTGCAGGAGGCTGGACTGAGCCACACAGAAGTTCTCTTTGTTCAGGACCTAACAGACGAATGACCCTTTTTCTTTCTCTCCCCTCCTACCCTAATCCCGAAAAGAAATTGAAAAAACACAGAAAACAAAAAAAACAAGAGAGAAATTCATATTATAATTATTATAATACAATATTTTTTTTAAAAGACTGCTGCATCCTGAAGAAGGATCAGAAACCATGCTGCCTGCAGAGTCGCAACCCGTGTGCGTGAGGTTAGCAGGGAACGGACCCACTCAGCAAGCCCCCCCACAGCCTCTGCACACGCACCTTCCGGCACACGGAGACGTGTCACCTTCAACCCATCCATCGTTCTAGCTGGGGAAGGGCTCATCCCCACCAGTTCTCATTCATTCTTGCTTTGATAGAAAATAAAAGTGAAAAACCTTCATCAGCCAGTGACTGCAGCGTCTCCTAGGACTCGCTTCTCCCACCTCTGGAGAGAGGAAACGGAAAGCCCAGAGCTGAGATGTTCCTTGGACTGCCCAAGTTTCTGAGTCGCTTCATGGTTTCTGTTGCTTTGTAATGACCAAAGGAAGGAGGCTGACAGGTGTATTTCCTTTTCCTCGACTTTATTTCATAAAGCGCCGATTCTTAAGCCTATGAGTTCATGCCCTGGGCTCCTTAGCCCACAATAGCATAATAAAGGCACCCGGGCGAGTTTGTGCTTATTTCTGCCATTGTCCCTCTCACATTCCTAGAGAGGATGTTCTTTGGTCCAACTCCTACTGTCCTTTTTTGCTACCCTGGAACCCCACTTGGAGCAGTGGGAGAAAACCTGAGGTATGGCCCCCAAAGGCCGCATGTGTGGGTACACCATGTGTGTGGTGTGAGCACACCTTCACATGCAGCTGCAGCTTCTCCCTCCTTGGAGTCCGTACCAGGTGGCGGTGTGGGGTCTGGGTCAAAGGACAGCGGCTCTTCATTCCTCTTCTGACACGTGTGTGTTCTGAGCTCCCCTGAGTGGCCATGCCTGGTGCCTTTCCAGAGGACTAGCAGGGCCTGCGGTGGCGCCAGAAGAACCACACGTGCCCCGCCTGTCTCAGTGGAAGTTGCTACCTTTGTTTTTTGGATAGAAAGAACCAGAGGCCTTTAAGGGAGCCAAGAGCAAACTCCCAGCCTGTCTAAATTGCTGGGAGGTGCGTTGTGGTTCCTGATAGAGCCACCTTACAGGGGCAGATTTTATCCTTTCCCTCCACTGCTGTGAAGCTCTGAGGGCCTTTTTTGACCTCTGGATGTCTCTTCTGTGGCGAGTTTCTGGCAGTGGGTGCCTGGGTCAGGCTGTGTGTTAACAGGTGCCAGGGTGCGCTACCAGGTATTCCAGGGTGGTCCGTGTAGCTAGACTGGTGCAGGCTGACTGTGGCACTGCCACCTGCTGAAGTTTCTGTACTAGCTTGTGTGAGGGCCGGGAGTGGAACCTCCAGGGTTTCTCTCACTTAACGAAAACCTAGGGACCACTCTTTGAAGTCGCCGTAAGAAGCCACTGTCCTCGGCAGCCCTCCGTGTGAGGTTCACACCATGGCAGAGTGAGGCACCTCATGGGAATTACCAGGAGCGCCTGAGTCCATGGCCTTGGCACAGGTGTCTAGACGCCACACTAGGAAGATGGGATCCTGTCCCTGCCTGCCTGTTCTTCCACTGTGCTTTCTGCTGCCCCGAGACCAGTGAGTGGGGAATCGCCACCTCACTGTTGTCAAAATGTAGAGTGAACACCAGGGTAAACCGTGTTCTCCACTTGACTTTATGTGAAATCTGCTTCCTGCTGACGACTGTGCGGAGAGGGTTTTTTCCACTTAACTCGGAGGACCTCCCTCCCTGTCTGGAATTCACAGCTGTCCCCTGGCAGGACACGAAGGGCATTGAGGACCTTTGTTAGGCTGGGAACATTGGGGAAGATTTTCTTTTCCATCATAACTCGGTCTCATCTTACTCTACAATGTACACTATATGCCTCTTGCCTTTTGGGAACTTGTTCAGTGCAGGAGGTCTGATGCCAGAGTATTCAGGAAAGGGATCCCTTTGTGTCAGCACAACTCTCAGGGCGGCCTGTCCGTTTGCTTTAGGTTTCAAGAGGCTTCACCAGAAGCACATGCCCTTCTAGTCCGTCTTGAGACTCTTATGCTTTAGACCTCTGCCTGTCTCCTTGCTGACCCTCGTGCTGCTGCCTGGGTGCCGATTCCTTCTAAGCGAAAGACAGGCTGCACGGTTTGTCACGCAGTGCCAGTACAGTCTGTGTTACTCCCAAGGTCCTCTGGGAGCTTGACGGGACCTGCAAGAAGACTTGCAAAGCTGGGGATCCGCGGGCCTAGGCTCCCGGCTCCCCTCCCCTCTGGGATGCTTCAGCTGCTGTTTCCAAGTGGCGAGTCGTCAACCAAATGAAAACACTTGTTTCCAGTTTTGTTCTGCACGCCCAAGACTGAAGTTTAGATTCAGCTGAGTAGCCCAGTCAGAGTCGGTTGAATCTCTGCAGTCTCTGTGAGGGCTCTTCTGGTCTTTTCTCCAACTTCTGCAGAATTTCTGCAGCAGGTATTTATTTCTCCTTGCCCCCCGCCACCATGATACTTGGATAAGAGATGGCCAGAGGAGAGTATATATATCTTTAAATAATGAAACTAAAAAGAACCTAGAATCTCCAACTGAGCAGTTACTATGAAATTGCTAATGGTGCCAAGGCCGAGGCAAGAGTTTAGAACATGACTGTGGGAGGGAGTGGTATACCCCGGAAGGCAAAATCAGGGTTGTATTGTCATCTGGGGCCTGGACAAGGAGCTCCACTCACAACTGGTTTTTTAGGACCTGTGAGGAATGCAGCAACAGGAAGTCCATCCAAAAGGGATGCAGTGCCCCAACTTGTACTGCACCTGAGTAGTTATATGATACTTTACTGAAGAAATCTAGTGTACTTTAAATTTTTTTCATAAAAGTTTACATTGTATTGTAGGTTAACATTAAATGTTTTATAACAAAAACTTTGTCACAAGTTGTGGGTCTTTCTGTCCAGGAGAGGTGTGGTAAAGAGTTCACTCTGTGAAGAAAAGATGGAAAAACTCGGGAGGGCATGGAAGGAACGGGGCATCGCGTTGCCAGGAAGCAAGGGAGAATCCCAGAGAAGCAGTGAGGCAGGGCTGTGCCCCTGGTGGAAGGGGGCAGCTCGGACAGCGGGGTGGCGGAAGGGCGGCAGATCCAGGTTCAGACTTGGGTTGTGTCAGCTCTGTGACTGCAGGCGAGTTCTTGGCTTCTCTGCTCTCCAGTGTCTCCAGCTGTCAATGAAGGCGGCGCTGTCTGCCTCAGGATGGGTTTGGAGATTAAATCAAATGAGTAAGCAGCGCCCTTAGCCGGGCTCAGTGGCTCAGCCTGTAATCCCGTGCCTTGGGAGGCTGAGGTGAGTAAATTGCCTGAGCCCGCGGGTTCGAGACCCGCCAGGGCAACTTGGCGAGCCCTCACCTCTACAATAAATCAAAAAATTTAGCCGGGCGTGGTAGCGTGCACCTGTAGTTCCAGCTCCTTGGAAGGCTGAGGCAGAAGGATCGCCGGAGCCCAGCAGGTCGAGGCTGCGGTGGCCGGGAGCGGCCACTGCACTCCAGTCTGGGCGACAGAGTGAGACTCCAACTCAAAAAAAAAAAAAAAAAAACCTGCCCAACATAGATGTCATCATGCCCCTTCTCCCATGGGAGCGTACTTTGAGGGAATATTTTCTTGCAGTAATAACTGTCAGTTTCCAGGCTGGGCGCAGTGGCTCATGCATATAATCCCAGCACTTTGGGAGGCTGAGGTGAAAGGATTCCCTGAGCCCACAGGTTCAAGACCAGCCTGAGCAACTTGGTGAGAACTCATCTCCAAAAATTGTCTGGACATGGTAGCGCATGCCTGTAGTTGCAGCGACTTGGAAGGCTAAGGCGGAAGGATCACCTGAGCCCAGCGAGTGGAGGCTGTGGTGGCTGTGAGCGTGCCACTGCACTCCAGCCTGTGCAAAAGTGAGACTCCTAGCTCAAAAAAAAGAAAAAAATGTCAGTTTCCTAAATAATTTGTTGTTTAGAATAGACCTTAAAGTGTGGCTAGGGAAGTCGCTTCTGACATTCCGGACCACTGGAGTTCCCCTCCCTGGGTGTATTTTGCTTACGTTTTCATTTCTGAGAAGAAACTCAAGTTTCGGCTGTCTGCCGTTCTCTCCCCCACTGTCTGTCCTTGTGCAAATAACTGATTTTTGTGAGTACAGATTCTTGACACCTTCAGAGTCTGCCCTGTGACTTGTCTGAAGATACGAGGCCCTCTTTTTTAAAAATGTACATTAGGTGTGAATTAGGATGTCTGCTTGGTCTAGTAAATTTGCAAGAAGAGGTTATTCATTTGAAGTGAGAATTCGCCAGAAATGGAAATTTACCATCAATGAACAGAATCAAGGAGGCTTCAAATTCCAATACCGGATACACCTGGGTTTTTTTGTGTGTTTGAGTCAGTCTGTGGCCCAAGCTGGAGTGCTCGGGCATGCTTATGGTTACCACAGCCTTGACCTGCTGGGCTCAGGTGACCCTTCCGCCTCAGCCTTCCAACCAGCTGAGACTACAGGCAAACACCACCATGCCTAATTTTTTATTTTATTTTATTTTATTTTATTTTTTGAGTTGGAGTCTCACTCTATCGCCCAGACTGGAGTGCAGTGGCCGCTCCCGGCCATCACAGCCTCTACCTGCCGGGCTCTGGCGATCCTTCCGCCTCAGCCTTCCAAGTAGCTGGAACTACAGGTGCACACTACCACGCCCGGCTAATTTTTGATTTATTGTAGAGATGAAGTCTTGCCAAGTTGCCCAGACAGGTCTCGAACCCGCAGGCTCAGGCAATCCACTCACTTCAATCTCCCAAAGGGCGGGATTACAGGCTGAGCCACCGAGCTGGCTAATTTTTTATTTTATTGTAGAGGCATCTGCCATGTTCCCCAGGCTGGCCTCCGACTCCTGGGATCAAGCAATCCTCTCACCTTCGCCTCCCAAAGCGCAGGGGTTACAGGCGTGAGCCCCCACATGCAGGCACACTGGTTTTAGATCCTGGCTGTGGCCGTGATTTTGGCCGAGTGACCTCGACTCTGGGCTTAGATTTCTTCTGGGGAATAGGGCTGTGTGTGGCGTTGCTGTGAAGATGAGATGAATTGCTGTTGCAGAGTGCCTGGTACACAGCACCTGTTTGGGATTCCTCCTATCCCTGTCTTCAAGACAGCCCTCAGTCGCCTCCCCACTGCAGAGTGACCCTCGGTGTGATGACGGAAACGGAAAAGGGCAAGGGAGCCGGGGCACGGTGGCTCACACCTGTCATCCTGACACTTCAAGAGGCCCAGGCGAGATGGCTGCTTGAGCCCAGGGGTGCGAGACCAGCCTGGGCAGCACGTTCAGACCTTGTGGCTGCCCAAGATAAAAAGTCAGCTGGACGTGCCGGCGTGGGCCTGTGGTTCCAGCTGCCAGGAGACTGAGGTGGGAGGACGGCCTGCGCCCAGAAGGTGGAAGCTGTGGTGAGCCGTGACCATGCCACTGCACTGCAGCCTGGGCCGCACCGGGAGACCCCAGCTCAGAAGGCGGCGGGGATAAGAAGGAGGCTTTCTTGCCGCGGACTTGTCCTGACTCCTCTCCGGCCGGTGGTGGCGCTCCATGTGCCCGGGAGCCCCACGGTCGCCAGGCCTGGG